ATTTCTAGCGTTATTTTGGAATTTTTCAGCAATTTCGGATTACTGTAGCTTGGAAAGTCCGCAAACACCGAATTTCTAGAAAATTGAGATTTTGAGCTAATTCCGTGAGGTTAGACTAATTTGGCAATGGGAAAACTGATTTTAGCGTTAAAAATTAGCCAAAATGTCGTTTAGTCGGTGTTTGCGTACTTTTGGAGCTACAGTAATCCCGAAAATCTCAAAACTGCGCTAGAAATGTCTACTTTTCAGTGTCCAGACCCAAATTTTGCTGGGAATTCGAATTTCACGATCTCACCTGCAGTCTATCCATATCTTCCATCTGCTGGGCCTTCTCGAACGGTTCGACCAGCGAAATGACACCTTTATGGATAATTTCAGCCAGTTTTGCGTGTGTTTCAATGTCTTCAACTCGATAAAGTGCCGCAACGACACAATTCGTCGCCGTTTCATGTAGTGTTGATGGAATATTCGGGTCGATTGATGCGATGACGTGGAATACGGATGAAATCAGTGGAGATACCGCAAAATGGTCCGTGCGCATCGCCTGATTCTGAAGATTCGATTCCAGACACTTGAAGACCTGAAAAACATTAAGTTTGGACTGAAAACTAGAAGTTTCTAGCTCAAATTAAAAATTTTCTGGAATTTCTTGGATTACTGTAGTTCCGAAAAGTCCGCAAACACCGGACGAACGACGTTCCAGCCAATTTTCATGGCTAAATTCGTTTTTCCCGCAGTCAAATTGGTCTAAACTCGCAAAATAAGCCCGAAATCTCGATTTTTGCGAAAATTCGGTGTTTGCGTACTTTCCAAGCTACAGTAACCCCGCAAATTTCCAAATAACGCTGGAAACGTCTACTTTCCAGTGCTCGGACCTGAATTCCGTGGGGAATTCGAATTTGGCATCTACAATCTAGGAAAATAAAAAATTCTTTGCCGAAAATTCCCCCCGAGTAATTTCGTAGCTACCGTAACCCACAATTAGCTGAAAAATCGACTAGAAACTCAAATTTTCCGTATTTCTTCGTCAGATTATTGGTTTTCACAAAATTTTGTTTGAGAATCTGAAAACTACAAGTTTCTAGCTCAACTTTGATTTTTCAGGGATTACTGTAGTCCCAAAAGTCCGCAAACACCAAATTTTTGATGTCAAATTCAATTTTCAACGCCAAATTCGTTTTTCTCATAGCCGAATTGGTCCAAACTCGCGAAACAAGCAAGAAATCTCGATTTTTGCGAAAATTCGGTGTTTGCGGACTTTCCAAGTTACCGTAATCCAAAAAACGCAGAAAATGTCAAAATCGAGCTAGGGAACGTCTAGTTTTCAACGTTCAAACCCGAATTTTGCAGAGAATCCGAATTTTTGACTGAAAAATCAGAAATTTGATTGAAAATGGGTCAAAAATCACCAAATTTTGAGTTTTACAGCACAGACCAAAAACTAGCTTGAAAAACGAGACGAAATACTCGGATCACTCAATTTTTCTTGTCATATTCGTGTTTTGCACTAAATTTGGGTCTAGAACCCGAAAACTACAAGTTTCTAGCTCAATTTTGATTTTTCTCGGATTACTGTAGTCCCAAAAGTCCGCAAACGCCGGCAAAACGATTTCTAGGGCACTTTTCATCGTTAGATTCATTTTTCTCATACTAAAATTAGTCTAAACTCGCGAAATGAGCTCAAAATCTCAATTTTCCGAAAATTCGGTGTTTGCGTACTTTCCGAGCTACAGTAACCCAGATTTGGCTAGAAAATCGACACGAAACTCAGATTAATCGATTTTTCTTGTCAGTTTCGTGTTTTGCACTAAATTTGGGTCTAGAACCCGAAAACTACAAGTTTCTAGCTCAATTTTGATTTTTCTCGGATTACTGTAGTCCCAAAAAGTCCGCAAACGCCGCTAAAACGACGTTCTAGCCAATTTTGGATGTCAAATTCGTAATTTCCCATTGCCAAATTAGTCTAAACTCGCGAAATCGGCGCGAAATCTCAATTTTCGAAAATTCGGTGTTTGCGGACTTTTGGAGCTACAGTAACCGAAAAAATGCCGAAAAATGTCAAAATTGAGCTAGAAACGTCCAGTTTCCAGTGCCCCGACCTAAATTTCGCGGGGAATTCGAATTTTGACTTTAGAAACTCCAAAAAAGGCTATAAAAGGCCCATAACGCTCACTTTTTTCAACACCTCCATATTCGTGTGGAATTTCTCGAGAACATGGGATAAAAAACTGATCATTGGCTGCTCACAAGCGGCCAACTCCTCTCGGATCGCGGCTCGTCGATTCTCGCCAATTCCTCGGATATTTTCAGCCTCTTCTGGGAACACTTGTAGGAGGGTCAGTGTCATCTGGGTACGGTCACCTTCCAGCGATTGACATCTGAAAATTGGAAGAAAATAGTTCAAAAAGCATTGAAAGTGGCGAAAAACCGCTCAAAATCTGGGAAAAATAACCTAAAACAGCCCAAAAATGAGTCAAAACGAGATTTTTGAAAAATTCCAGATTACTGTAGCTTCCAAAAAGTATGCAAACACCGGCAAAACGACCTTCAGGACTATTTTAAACGCCAAATTCGTTTTTCCCATACTCAAATTAGACTAAACTCGCGAGAACAGCTCAAAATCTCGAATTTCCAATAATTCGGTGTTTGCGTACTTTCCAATCTACAGTAATCCCGAAAATTTCAAAATAACGCTAGAAACGCCTAGTTTTCAGTGTCTGGACTCATTTTTTGTGGGAAATTCAAATTTAGCGCCGAAATTTTCGAATTTGAAGCTTTTAGCTCAGAAATTGCGTATTTTCAAAACTACAGTAACCAAAAAATTTTTTCTAAAATTCGGTTTGATGCTTTTCACAAGCAGATTTGTGTTTCCCACCCCAGAATTAGTCTGGATTCCAATTTTCAGCCCGATATTCGATATTCGGTGTTTGCGTACTTTTCAGAGCTACAGTAATCCAAAATTTGGCTAGGAAATCGGTTACAAACTCAAATCATTTCATTTTTCTCGTTAGATTCGTGTTTTGCACAACAAGTAAAGCTAAAAACTGGAAACTAGACGTTTCTAGCTCAATTTTGGTTTTTCGCGGATTACTGTAGCTCCAAAAAGTCCGCAAACACCGGCAAAACGACCTTTCGGATTATTTTAAACGCCAAATTCGTTTTTCCCATAGCCAAATTGGTCTAAAGTCGCGAAATAAGCGCAAAACCTCGATTTTTGTGAAATTCGGTGTTTGCGTATTTTCCAGGCGACAGTAATCCCGAAAAATTCAAAATAACGCTAGAAACGCCTAGTTTTCAGTGCCAGGACCCAAATTTCGCGGGGAATTCGAATGCCTCATCTATTTTTATTATTTGGGGCCCCTTAAAACGGCAAAAACTCACTGAGCCAACAGTTCGAAAATCCAATTATTCCACGTTGGCACCTGAATATAGAGGTCAGCGATCGCTAGACACAACTGGGTCGTTGTGGCTTCCGATTGAGCATCGTGGGCGACGGCTCCGTGGCGGCTGAAAGATGAAACATTGAAAAATGTAGGGGGACTAGGATTTTCCAGGCCACGGCCACCAATTTTTTTTTCGTCGATTTTGGAGCTAAAAAATAGGTCCAAAACAGCCCAAAAACGTCTAAAAAGATGTAAAAATCGGTTTTTGGGTCATTTTTG